ATAATGAGTTACTTTTTTATTTTAAAATTCTAGCTTTCAAATGATTATCGCTCTTTTTTCAAAGGGCTTAATTAAAAAAAAAAACATCGACTATATCTTAAAATAATTTTTCACATATACACGCTTGTATTTACCCGCGCAGCGTGGATATTTACAACTGAAATTTTAAAATTGAAATGTAATTGTCGATGTTTTTTTTTATTAAGCCCGTTGAAGAGCGGTTATCGTTTGAAAGTTGGCAATTTGAAATAAAAAGAAATTCATTGTGAGAAAACAATTTTGTAATTTTTAAACGTTTTTCACAATTTTATCATGAATAGACATTCATTATTTATATACAGTTAAACCTGTCTATAGCGCCCCCTCTTGGAACTCACCAAAATAGGGTGTTATAGAGAGGTCACTTTTAATGTAAATTGTATCGTATTACGTATTTAAAATCGGGCGCTATAGAGAGGGAGGCGCTATTTAGAGGGGGCGCTATATACAGGTTTAACTGTATATTCCTTCTATAGAGACAATCCCCTAACTTTATAACACTGTTCTATACTGAAGTAAACGAAAAAATTGCGCTACAAATTTTAAAATAAAACTGTTCTATACTACAATTATGATCTTCACTCCTAAAATATGTAAAACAACAAAGACTTTATTAATAACTTATGTTCTTATACAGATTCTCCGAGTATAGAAATGTAGGGTACATGTGTAGAAATAACAATAAATACTACCAGTAATCAGCAATGTTTTTTTTTTAAAGTGAGGGGTTGATGGAAGGATGGTCTAAACCGTTAGTTTTTCACATGTGTAGACATGTGGTGCACTTACAGTAAAAGCAGTTGCCTACTTTTAACCACCATGATTATAATGGCCTCTACCATGTGTACTAGGGATAAGCAAAATAATTACAGTGTATTGAATAAAGGGGAAAAAAGAAAGAAAGGGCTTAGCATAAACTAATATACAAGTATTTTAAAGATTGAGGTTTCCTGTCCTGCATTCATAGTTCTTTAAAAATGACACTTCGGCTAGTTCAAGTTTTATTTTCTCAGCCTTTCAACAAAAATCTTTCATCTTCGTCAGGAGAAATAAAAAAGCATTTGTCAAAGTATTAAAATTATTATATTATAAAATAATTATATTATAGAAGCCACAAACTACAAATGCGGAAAAAGGAAAATAAGAAATTTAAAACCTAGACAAATTCTCCATCAATTAAGCCAGAATGACGGAAAGTGGAAAAAAAAAAAAGGAAAACAACCCTACCTTGAATACCAAACAAGCCAGACAAAACCTTCTCAAGAACAATATCCCCAAGGACCCGAGGACCCAACGACATCATTATAAATTATAATTGTAAATGAACCCCTGTACATAACCACCCCCCTCAGTATATTGTAAATATGATGATCTAGGTTGCTCTTTTTGAGCGGTGGCACCTAATAAATTTATTTGGAACTGGAACTGGATAGAATATATATATATATATTATGATGCATTAGCGCGCCATCTGTTATGAAAATTCGAAACTATTATAGACGTGTATGATTATGAAAAAGAGTAAGGACAGTAGAAAATTGTTTTATTTTTAAAAGAATCATGCGCGTCTATAATAGTTTTGAATTTTCATAGAATATATAGATCCATGTCAGTAGCAACAAGATTTTCAAGCTGTGGGTCACAACTCTCATAGGAAAGAAGCTATATTTGTATTTTAATACACTGTAAAATTTTCTTATTGACTCTCTGCTATTTTATCAGTTTTAATTTGTGCTTACCTTAAATAAATTGCCGTGTCATACTGAAGTTTGCCTTTCCTATTTTCTATGTTACAATATTACAGATAATTTTTAAAGCCTTGCCAAATTCTTTTTTTTTTCTCCTGACGAAGACAAAAGATTTTTGTTGAAACGTTGAGAAAATAAAATTTTAACTGGCAGAAGTGTCTATTTTTAAAGAAATATATATAAGCATTCGAGAACAAGCAGTTCTTTTTCTTAAAGAACAATAATTATTGGAATTAACAGAAATATACATAATTATCAGGTACCTATACATGGATAGTTTTATACAAAATATATATAATTAGCAGACATATATACAGTTTCATACATGGATGGATCAAGGGTAGATGGTTATCAATAACAACAAAAAGCTTTATTAAGGCCTTTTAGTCTTATACATATTCTCCAAGCAGAAATGTAGGATACATGCAGGAAAAACAATAATAGTACCTTAATGGTAATATGATATTTATATACAGGAAAAAATATATAAAGACAATCAAGCTAATAGATTAGTCTGGGTAAATTGGTGGAAAAGAAATTTATTATACACGGATTTACCGCGGATTCTCCTCAAATGAAGATAAAAAGGTAAAGCTAATCACAATCAATATTGAGATAATGAAATTTATATAAAATGAAAGAATTTAAAAGCACGAATTTTCCCCTATACATAACACAAACCTCTACTGTCCTTACTGCGATGAAAAAATATATTGGGAGGGCTTGGCTCATCAGTGGTGAACCCTCCCAGCGGTTCGCCAATTTAATCCCCCAGACCGCTTCTAAGAGCTCCAATACTGTATAGGACGATTCTGCTTATATACGCAGCACTGAAGGATGGAATCTCAGAAATGGTTTTCAAGAAAACTATGGACATAAGCTTATAGGACAGTAGAATTACATTCAAATATTTGCATCGAGCAATGCTCTTCCGCAAACAATAAAGACAAGGCCAGTTAGGCATAAATTAACACAAAGCAATAACGCGCCATCTATACATATAAAATGAAAGAATTTAAAAGTACGAATGTTTCCCCTATACATAACACAAACCTCTACTGTCCTTACTGCGATGAAAAAATATATTGGGAGGGCTTGGCTCATCAGTGGTGAACCCTCCCAGCGGTTTCGCCAATTTAATCCACCAGACCGCTTCTAAGAGCTCCAATACTGTATAGGACGATTCTGCTTATATACGCAGCACTGTGAAGGATGTAATCTCAGAAATGGTTTTCAAGAAAACTATGGACATAAGCTTATAGGACAGGCGAAACCGCTGGGAGGGTTCACCACTGATGAGCCAAGCCCTCCCAATATATTTTTTCATCGCAGTAAGGACAGTAGAGGTTTGTGTTATGTATAGGGGAAACATTCGTGCTTTTAAATTCTTTCATTTTATATGTATAGATGGCGCGTTATTGCTTTGTGTTAATGAAATTTATAAACAAGAAAACCTAATTAAGACAGATACATAAACAGATTTGAATGGGTTAATTAAAGGGTTATCTAAAATCGAAATATTATATTTTTATGTATTATTTAAAAATGCTTATTTTGGATCATAAAGTTTTATTTTCCAATATTTCGTATGGCAACTCACCAAACTTCTTCGGGAAACAAGTTGTACATACTCGTGAATTGATACGCGAGCATCTCAAAACACTTTTGTTCCCCGAAGAAGTTTGGCGAGTTGACATACGAAATATTGGAAAAATAAAACTTTATGATCCAAAATAAGAATTTTTAAATAATTTAATATATGGATTGCTCTATTTTCAATCACTGTATATTCCTTCTATTGAGACAATCCTCTCACTTTATAACACTGTTCTCTACTACGATTATTATCTGTACTCCTAGAATATATAAAACAACAAATACTTTATTAATAACTTTTGTTCTTATACAGATTCTCCGAGTATAGAAATGTAGGCTACATGTGTAGAAATAACAGTAATACTACTAGTAATCAGCAATGTTATTTACAGTGAGGAGTTGATGGAAGGATGATCTAAACCGTTGATTGTCGACCGCTACGACTCGGGTTCGATTCCCGCATTATGCACTTTTTCTGATAAAAAAATAAATGCTCCAATGACCCCCAATTATTGTAAAAGTTCAGAAAACTTTCTCTATTCAAATACGTATTCAATAAGAAAATACTGAAATATCATCTAAGTTTTTAGATATAATTAAGGGTATGCGAAACTATTATACAACGTATGATTCTTTTGAAAATTAAACAATTTCTACTGTCTTTACTGTCCTCATTACAGTAAGGGCAGTAGAAATTGTTTAATTTTCAAAAGAATCATACGTGTCTATCTTCTTCTTCTTTCTTATCTCCACTCAATCATATTAAGGTATCAATCTTGTAAAGCTTGAGAATACGTGTCTTAATAGTTTCGAATTAAGGGTGTTTATAATAAATCTATTTATATACATAAATATTTATTCAAAGCTTTGAGTTATATAATATCAAAACAAACCTTTACAAGCAATAACACGCCACCTATATATAACGAATGAAGACATTAAGACGTGAATGTTTCTTTTCACAAATAAATCAAACTTCTACTGTCCTTACTGCGATGAAAATCTATTGGAAGGACTTGGCTTATCGGTGGTACACCCTTCCAGCGATTTCGCCAATTTAATCTACCAGACCGCTTCTTTAGAGCTCCACGAGGCAATTATTACACATAAACATTTACTTTTTAGCATTAAAAGGCTAAAATTATATTTTATTTTCAAAAATGAATATAAAATTATCAGTGTACCATATGCAGAATGATCCAATACAGTATTAGAGCTCTAAAGAAGCGGTCTGGTAGATTAAAAATTGGCGAAACCGCTGTGGGTTCCCCACTGATGAGCCCCAAGCTCTAATTTGTTTTTCACCGCAGTAAAGACAGTAGAAGTTTGATTTATTTGTGAAAGAACCACTCGAGTCTTATACTGTTTTCATTTGTTATATATAGATGGCGCGTTATTGCCTTTTATTATTAGAATTTGTTTATAACTGTTAATATATTTTAAGAAAAAGGCATCTCCTGACCGTGAAACTTTAAGTTACACAATCAATAGATACCATTTTATTAATTTATTCACCTGATCCTATTACAATTTCACTTTTACACATTGTGAATATATTTAGTGAATTAATTTTGTATTATAAATTACTTTATATAATATTTACGAACGGAAAAATATGTCCAAGGTAGCCTAGTAGACATGACATCTGCCCGGTAAGCGGAACATTGTGACAATTGACAATTAAAAATTATTTATTGTCTTCTAGACAATATTACATCTCAAAGAGAGAGGGAGAGAAGAGAGAGGTAGCGGAACACTGTGGGTTCGATTCCCATCCCTGGACACTTTATTTTTCCGTTTATCATTACTCTTCACAATTCATTCTTTCATACCTCATCCCTCAGGTTAGAAATAATCGTTAGTTCTCCTTAAAATAAATTTCGATTTTTCGTTCAAAAGAAACACATGCGGGATAATTTTCAAATGTCGTTCTACAAGTATTTATATGTAGTTCTACTGTCCTAAAAGCCTATGTCCATAGTTTTACATAAATACCATAACAAAATTCCACCTTTCAGTGTAACATATATAAGTAGAATGATCCAATACACTATTAGAGCTCTAAAAGCGGTCTGGGAGATTAAAAAAAAACGAACGAAACCGCTGGGAGGGTTCACCACAGATGAACCAAAAGCTCTTCCAATATTTATTCCTCGCAGTAAGGATAGTAGAAAATTGGTTTTATTTGAAAGAAAGCATTCGTGTTCAATGGTTTTTCATATATTATATATTGAATATCCCAAAATTATATGCAACCAGTATGGACAAAAAAAAAAGATATTAAATTTTAAAAATGCCATAACTCACTAATCACAAATCATTAAAAAGTACTTGTCTCAATAAAAAAACAAAAACAAATTGAACATATTGTAGATAGTAAAACACACAACAAAAAAAAAGATAAAAACAATAGGAATTTGGTAGCAATAGTGTTAAAAAAGTAAGTGCCAATGACAAATGTTACTTTTACGGGTTATCACACAAAAATCAATATACTAGGGCCTACAGTAAGAGTAACTTAATACACAGAGAAACGTACACTTAAGAGTACAACACCTACAACAAAAAGGAAGTCAATAAAAAAAAACACGATTTGTTAAATAAAATAAAAACAGTACTTATATTTTATTTGCAGCGTTGATCAGGAGCGGACCGGGATTACACAAAATAGGAAGTAACCAATTTTACTTTTTAGAATTTTATCACTCCCAAATGTGTAAATTAGTTTGTTATTGAACGAATTTGCATAGGCATTAAGTAGCCTATCTAGTAGATAATATTAATAAGGATATAGTAATGCTTTACTAGTAGTACTATTACGTTAATAAATACTATACTTTTTTATTTTATAAAACGACATTTGAAAATTATACCGCATGCGTTTTTTTTTTGAACGAAAATTCGAAATTTATTTTTAAGGAGAAATAACAATTATTTCTAACCTTAGGGATGAAGTATGAAAGGATGATCTGTGAAGAGTAATGATAAACGGAAAAATAAAAGTGTCCAGGGATGTGAATCGAACCCACAGTGTTCCGCTTACCGGGAAGATGCCATGTTCGCTTGAATTTTCTCCCAAACTTGTTTTATTTGATTCTAAAACAAATTATTACTTTCTTATCATAACATAGTTTTGAAATTTTAAAAATATATCGTTTTTTTTTCTGCTTTCCCACACACTCCCATGTATAATATAGGGTAGTCCATAAGTATCACTTTTATACTTTTATTAAAAATTAAAAGAAAAAAAAATAGAATAAAAAACTATATTTTAGGTAATAGATTAAGCTTTAATATAGTTATATTTTTAAATTCTAGTTTGCCTTTTAATTTTTTAAATTAAATAAAAGTTTTCGGGATTTATAATGTATTCGCCATAATAAGATTATTCGCTAATTAAAAGGAAACTAACGTTTTAAAAAAAAAAACAAGAACTTTTGGGATAACCTTATAACAATCTTTTATAAATGTATCGCATTCTTCGCATTAATTTACTATTTTTGAATTTCAACTTTGTTAGTTCGAAAAAAAAATTACGTATTTTGTACGTCATAGAATTACTTACAATAGAGCTTTATTCGACGACCATCGTAATCTCTTGATGACAAAACTTCTTGATTCGCGTCTCAGTATTCTGACAACATTCGGGAGATAGTCACATACAGAGTTTAATACACAATTTCCATTGAAGTCATCAATATACAAGGTTGTCCCAAAAGTTCGTAAAAACTTACAAAAAATGAAATACCAATATTATTCGCCATAATATTGCCAAGTGGAAAATTAGGGAAGACAAACTTCGGGAGATGAGGCAACAATTTATTTCAGGCAAGAACAAACTATGAATGATAAACAAAAGATAAGCAATGAGGGAAGTTTACAGAGTATAGCAAAATATAAACATAAAAAAAGGATACTTCGCTAAAATAATAAATACTTTGTTACAATATTATTCGAAGCTATGTATAATGTCTTTGTATTATGTATTATTATATATTCGCCGTAATAATATTATTAGCCAAGTAATAAGAAAAATAACGTTTTAATAAGAAAACGAACTTTTCGGAAACCTTATGATATGGCATCTCACTGAATATAGAATAAGTAAATCTAAGACAGACGAACCATGAATAGAAATTAAATTTGCATATTTTATAATTTACATATTTGACATCTATTATAGTTAATCGTTAAGGAAGTATTTCAGATATTTCGAAAGTGACGAAGTTATTAAATTCAGAAAGTTTTTTTGCTTATCGTTTGAATCAAAGAAAATATTTCAGTATGATTATGGAAATTTCCGAAGTTTCTAGGCCTAACATTTAAATCACCAGAGTTAATCCATTCATACTTATAATACAATATAATGCGGCTTATGATTGTAGAACGACGTTTGACAAATTATCCTGCATGTGTTTCTTTTGAACGAAAAATCGTAATTTATTTTAAGGAGAAATAACGACTATTTATATCCTTAGGGATGAAGTATGAAATGAATTGTGAAGAGTAACGATGAACGGAAAAATAAAAGTGCCCAGGGATGGGAATCGAACCGGGCAGATGTCATATCTACAATATTTACGAACGGAAAAATATGTCCAGGGTAGCCTATTGGACATGGTATCTGCCCGGTAAGCGGAACACTGTGGGTTCGATTCCCATCCCTGGACACTTTTATTTTTCCGTTCATTATAACTCTTCACAATTCATCATTTCATACTTCATCCCTAAGGATAGAAATAGTCGTTATTTCTACTTAAAATAAATTACGATTTTTCGTTCAAAAGAAACATTTGCGGTAAAATTGTCAAACGTCGTTCTACAATCATGTGCTTAAGTTGAATCCAGTTTTCAATTTATTGGAATGGTTAATGTTGTATATATGTGATAACCGAGAGGGACAGTCAGGGCGTGGAGAGTTTTCCACTATCTCTCTGCACCTTGGAGGACCTTTAACAGTTCTCACAGAGTACAGGCAGTCTTGGTCGAGGCAGAGTGGAAAGCTTGGAAATGTCCACACACAAAAAACGAAGAGACACAGTTGTAGTAGGAAAGTTCCGTGAACAGATAGGAGTCGAGCTAAGAGCAAGGATGGAGATAGAAGAGTTCTTACTGTTCTACATGGTCGATGAGGAGGACCTGGGTACAACCGACGAGGGCTCACGCTGATGGTGAAGTGACTATATTTTCTGCTAGGGCAGAGATCTTATATATCTTTTCCGAGTGAGGAGGCATGCGGGAATTTGGACTTTGAGCGGGTGCAAAGGGCGTGGGGTGTCTGCGGTATTCTACACCCAATGGTCTTGATGGAACGACCTGCCAAATTCCTCTTTAGGGTTGTGGGACTTCTTCTCAATCTTGCTTTAACTCAGCTATTTATCTATTACATAGTTTTATTTATTCATCCTCGGTTTGTACAAAGTACATTACATATGGTGATGCAATGACACATGTCGATCATGCGTATAATTATTCATAGATGCGTTTCTATATACAACATGACAATCTTGTTATAAGTTATATACAATAAAGGGTTGTTGGTTTAAATTACCATAGATGGGCCCCGGGAGTGAAAGGGTTTATCCGGGTTTAAACAGGTAAAGCCTCTCTAACACAGGTAAGTAATTAAATTTTCTTTTAATTAATTTGAACTGTGAGGTTAAAAGGGATATAACAAGATGCTTTGTAGGATATATCTGAAAATTATTAAAAATAAAACTTATGTTTAATTTAATTTTTTAGGACGGTAGAATTACATTTAAATATTTGCATCGAGCAATGTTCTTTCGCAAACAATAAGGACATGGCCGGTTAGGCATAAATTAATAAAAACAATAACGCGCCATCTATATATAACAAATGAAAATATTAAGATGCGAGTGTTTCTTTCATAAATAAATCAAAATTCTACTCTGTTTTTAGGGAGATAAAAAAATATTGGGAGTAAGTTTCACATAGGAACTGACCTAATATATCCGAACTAGGTTTCAAAGAAGGTTTACTCTCTCAAACGTAAGTTTTATCATATGAAGGAAGGAAAGGAAACGGAATGTGATTATCTGAAGTGTCCCCATCATGTTTCTAAGAAAGTTTGAGATTGCCTAAAGGTGGAAATTACATTTTTCATGGAATATCCTAATTTTTATGTACAGTAGAATACAATATCCTCATCCCATCTGAGAATTAAGATAATTCAGTTAATAGGAAAATTTGAACGACTAACGGCAATCATTCATTTCTTTGCTGAATCATTAAATTTAAAACGTTTATTTAAACGGAGGCGAAACTGACCGGACGTGCGTCGCTAGGCTCCGCTAGTTCCGGTAAATATTGTTTTAAATATTCATTTTACTTATTGTATAATTTATAAAAGTTTTATAAATTGTTTAATTAAAAATATTATAACCTTTTTTTAATTGGCAATCGCTGTTTAAGAGTTTAGTCATTTTTGAAAGCCTTTTCAATTGTTGTTTTCGCACAAATATGCAAAAATAGAATATGGAAATAATTATTCAAACATTAAATGATAAGTTGGATGAAATTTATAACTATTTTGACAAAAAGGTTCAACAAAATCAAAAAAATCTAACTAAAAATGATATTACATTTTTGTCAACTATGGTTAGGCAAACCAAGGATGGTATTTCAACTTTAAAAGAAATAAATAACCAAGATATATTGGAACTAATGAAAACAACAATTACAGATGTTATGGACCAAAAACTGAAAGGGATCCAAGATGAATTAGTCAAAACAACTCCAACATATGCTCAAGTAGCTCGTA